TTTCTATTATCCTCTCATATATGCGAAAAAAGAAAATCTACTTCTGACATTCGTTGAAAATACACACAGTTAAAGTTCAGTAGCGGTTAGTTTCATTTTCTTCTCTTCTTATTCTCATGAGTGTCGGCACCTGTTCAAAACATCGATTGCACTCTGCTTTCCTCCTACTTAAAAAGCTGTAATTACACGTTCATGTTGGCATTTACTGAAACTATTTCAACTTTGTGAATTCTTGACTTTTTCTTTTTTTTTCTATACTGTTTTTTAATTTTTATAATTATCATCCAAAACTTTCAACGTTTTATGAAACAAAATTTTTGATTTGTTATAGATAATAAAAAAAAAAAAGGTTTAAAAAAAAGTAAATTCTCAGTTGGCATATTTGAGAAAAAAAAAAAAGGCGAAAGTAACGGTTTATACACAGGCGTAGTATATATTTCAACAAAATATGTGCTTTAATATTTTTAGAGTCGTTGGCCTTCGCTCGTCAATCATTTCTGGCTGCTTTTCCGGATTGAACGCCACTTTTGGGTACGATGAATGAGAAAGATGAGGGCCTAGCTCAAATTCACATATTCTCAGCTACACGTGTCAAGCATTATTAGATTTTTAAAAATATATTAAAATTTTTTTTTTAATTTCATTACATTTCAATATTAAGTTTGATATAAAAATATTTTTATTTAAATTAGAAATTCATTTTTCTTTATTTCTATAGAAACAATAATAAAAGTAATAAATAATAATATAGAAAAAAAATATTGTTAGTGAATTTTAGTACACTAATATCAAATAATAATAATAATAATAACAACTGCAATATTTTCAATAAAAATTCCAAATGCCCAAGGCGATGAATCGCTTAAATTAAAGCCGTTTTCTTTGATAACAGGTATTTTAAAAATAATAACAACAATAATATCAAAGAATACATGTAAAATGTTCAGTTCAATAAAAAAAAAAAAAAAAATTTATCCACACAATTATGGGTTATCGTCTGCTATTGAATATTATTATTTCTTCAATCATGAATCGTGCTACTGTATATGAGGAGTTTTTGATCAAGGCCCTTGTCAAACGTCATGCAAACATGTATAGGATATTTAACGCAGGTACCAAAATCACGTATCTGCATGCATAATAAAAATTCCATCGCCTGCCTTGAATAAATAGATGAATTTTTTTGTTTACCAAATTTTTTTAAATTACCAATGTTGATAAATTCAATTATTTTTCATTTCAAATTTTTTTCACTAATTTTCATGTTTTCCTCTTCTTTAGGGAAAAATTTATTTTTTTTTATTTTTCAAATTTTTAAATTAAATTAAGTTGTAAATAATCGAATAAATTTTGGTTAAATTAAAATTTCGTCAAAAGCAAATTCTGTTAAGGGTATGTGGGAACCTCCCACGTGACCTAGTATGGGAAAATGTGTTTTGGTAGTATACATTTCACTCTAAAATGAAAAAAGATTTTTCTCTAAAATTTTGAGGGATAATAGATTTGGGTTCAAGGAATTTCGCTGTTCTCCGAAAAATACATAATTTTGCGTTAAATTATTTAAAAATAAAGTTTAAAAAGTGTCATTTTTAAACGAAAATGAAAACAAAGATGGCGGCGCAAACACAGACGTTGCTTGAGTGTGTCAGTGCTCCAGTAAACAAGCGCCAATTCGAGAGAGTGGCCACTGAATGAACTATGATAAAACACATTATTTTACTATTTATTGCTTTATTTTTATTATATTCTTGCGTTAAGTTATATTAAATGAGTTGAACAGCGAGATTCCTTGTACCAAACAAAATTAATACTCCAAAATTTTAACCCGAAATAATTTTTTATTTCAGAGAAAGTTTCAAACCACAAAAAACGTCCTTTTCCCAACATACCCTTAAAGTAAAATTTATCAAATCAAAATTCTATTAAATTAAAATTTTGTCAAATATAAATTTGGTTAAATAAAAATTAATTCAAAAGAAAATTCGTTTAAATAAATAGTCAGGAATTCCTTCAAATCAAATTCGGTTAAATATAAAATTTGATGTAGTGAAAATTTTATGTTAAATATAAATTTCTATGAATTAAAATCTCTCCAAATGTAAATTTTATTAAATTCAATTTTTCATTAAATAAAAATGCATTCAAAAAGAAATAAATTCGATTAAATAAAAATGCCGTTGAATTGAAATTTGATCAACTTTCTAAATCTGAATTAGTAAAAATGTTTACTAATTTGAAATAGTGACTCACTTTTTGCTTCTCAATTACTAAAATTTTACTAATTATTAGTAACTTTTACTGACAATTAGTAAAATTTAACTAATTCTAAAGCAAAAAGTGAGTCACTAATTTAAATTAGTAAACATTTTTACTAATTCAGATTTAGAGAGAAATAAAATTTCCTTTCAATAAGTCAATTCCATTAAATAAAAATTGGATCAAACAAAAAAATTCGATTATTTAATCAAAAGAAAATTCTGTTAAATACAAATTTGGTTAAATAACAAATTTTCAAAAAACAAATTCTGCATTGAAAACAAATTTTATTTGATTCACTAATCGCGGTTACTTAATATTATTAAATAAATATTTCTTATTATTTCTATTAAATATGCATTATCTGAGTCAATTAAATGGTATTTATTTCAAATACAGAAATATATTGATTCGTATAAAATTTATTTTTTATTTATTTAGGGGAGACCGGGGCTGAAAGTGCCGGGGGTAAGTTGTGCCGATAGGAATATCTCAAAAAGAAAATTTTTTTTTTGAAAAGTGGAAGTGAGAGAAGTATTGTTTTACCTATGCGCATCTTTGGCAACTATTTTGATTTTGTTTGCTTTATGGAATAATTAGCTGTTAGTAATTTGGTGCTTTGGCGTCACTTACGTGCAAGTTTTCATGTTTACACTTTTTGGTCTATTTTTTGTATTTTTAAAGATATCGATACGTATTTTTTTTTAAAATGATCCAAATTTATCGAGGGATTCAATGGTGTATTGATCTTAACATTTTATTTATCTACTTTTTTAATATATGATAAAAAGTGAGCGTTGACGCAACGAGGTTAATTGTGCCTTTCGCTTGGGGCTGGTTGTGCCGCTGTCAATCGCTACATAACCATAATCTATACTATTGCCTCGTTTGTTCGAATAGTTATTCCAACCCGAAATCAAGAGAAAAGTTGATTCAATGCATAGTTTGCAAAAACTGGGCACATTGAAAATGTGTGAAGTGTAAAAAAAAGGGTCAGTTATATGTGTGTCAATTGTAATTTCAATAAATCGCATTCGGAATAAGTATTTACGTCTCAAAAACTATTTATTAATCAGAAAGTAGAGTTTTTACACTTAATTAACGATACAAATAATTATTTGAAAAAATATTTTAAAAGACTGATTAATTATGTAATTGTAAAATTTAAGTCAGAAATGTTTATTTATTTATAAAAATCTATAAGTATTACGATTGTTGGAAAAATCTTTTGAATGTTTATAATAAAAATACTTATTACGAAAACTATATTTTAAGTGACTGACTAACTATGTAATTATAGAATATAAGTCAGAAATTGTTTATTTTTACCTACTAAAAGTGGTACTAAAATCTAGAAATCCTAAGATTGTTCACAAAAACCTTTAAATGTTTATAAAAATATATTAATAAATAATATTAAATCATATATTGGAAATAATTATTTTATTTCTTACACGTAAGAAGCAATTGCTTCAAGTTAAGCAACTACAAAATCTGAGCGGCACAACCGACCCAGGCGTCGGCACAACTCTCCCCAGGGCGTAGCTCGATGTGTCGCTTCGCCTCGCTGCAGAAAATCAATTTTTACAAAAAAACTATTCAATATTATCAAAAAATAATACTGGATTCAAAAACTACATTAAATTTCACAAAAGATAGACTATGAAGTAAAATAAAAAGTTGTCATTTTACTAGTATTTTCTTTAGTTTTCTCAAAATCGGCACTTTCAGCCCCGGTCTCCCCTATTTAATACAGAAAAAAAATTAATTCGTTCAAGTCGAGGTTCTAGTAAATAATATAATAAATTAATAGTCAAGTAACCGATTACTTGCATCAAATAAAAATTTGGTTATATGAAAATTTAAATCTGATAAAAATATAAATTCAATTAAATAATAATTTAATAAAATGAAAATGCAATATATAATGAAAATTCTGTTAAATAATAATTTGATTAAATTGAAAAAATAAAAATTCTGTTATATGCAAATATTATTAAATTTAAATTTAATAAAATGAAAATTTAATTATATAATCAATAAATACGCGCGTGTAATATAAAATAGAGAAATTGAATATAAAAATAAATTTTAATGATTTAAACAAAAATTCTATTCAAATTCTAGGTATTCCAGATTGAAGTAGAAATTTATTATATATAAGAAATATTTGTTTTCTTTTTTAGAATTTTTTTTTTTAATTCTTTGTGTACTTTTCTTTTATACTAAAAATAGTAAAAAAAAAATACAAAGTAATTGTTACATGTGAATTAATTAAATATTTTCATTTAATATAAAAATACATATGATAATGTTTCACGCGAACTTTGCAGAGTGGTCGAAGTAGTTAATTTTTCATTATAATTAGCATAATACATAAGACGATTGCATGTGAATGCCATTGCATTTGAAGCAAAACGTGGACAGGTGCACGCGAATGCGGAATTTCATTTGATTGCCGTTAATTTGAAAATTGAATTCTTGTTGCAAGTCAATTATATATTACCAAGCATGAAATCGGAAACCGTCAATTTCTGTTAATTGAATATGCAAATTTATCATTAATCACTAATAATAAAAAAAAAGAAAGTATAAATCTCTACAAAATAAACAAAATCGAAAAACATACTTTAGAAATTAATTAGCTAATGTAAAATTAATAATTCTTTTTTTTTCATTGTTTTTAATTAATTTCGAGAAAAAAAAATCTTTATAATTTTTAAACAAATTTTGAAAAAATTTACCTTGACCGCCGCGTAGTGGGATCTTTCATAACCATAACTTCTGTGATGTCTCCATATTTGGTAAAATACTCTCTGAGGCTCTCTGTAACAAAAAAAAGATAAATTTGATTTTAAAAATTACATCAAAGAAAAACTGGGGGTTTTTTTTTTATTTAAAATTGTAGTAAATAAATTACACCAGAAATTTAACAGATTATTTAAATAAACATTCAACTATAACTGTTTAGTTTTATTAACTAAATTTTCTTGTTAAAATAACTAGAAATTTTTTAACCAGATGCATTTAGTAAATTTCATTTTTTTTTTTAGTCTATAAGCTAAATGTACACCAAACAGAATGAAAATAGCTTATTTTAGAGATAAGAAGAAAAAGCATCATGGAAAGGGGGGAAAAGTATTGACCGATTTCACGTGTCACTTTGCAAGTTCTCTACTTTCTTGAGTCCCGGTCGTAAAACTCCGAAACGAGGTCTAGGATTTACGGCAAAATTAAACTCCAGGATCGTTAACGTGAAGTACTTGAAGTTTTCAACGTTTTAATGAATGAAATATTTTTCCGCAACTCTAATTTGTCATAAATTATAGATTCAACTTTTTACATCCAACGATATATTTTATGCATTTTTGATTCTCCTTATGGTCTGTATTTTCAATAAACTATAAATGTTTTTAACATATTTTCTTTTTTTTTTTTTTTATATAAAATCAGTAAAAAATTTATTTTACAAATAAAATTATTGTAATTATTAAAAAAAATTGTCCTTTTTCTGCAATATTACTGAAATTATTTCTATAAAATAAAGAGAGAAGAAAAAAGTTATTTTAAAAATAAAAATTGATAATAATTAAAATAAAATAATTTCTAAAATTTTCTCAATAGAATTGTTTTTTGCTCATTAAATATTCCTATATCATGTTTCACACAATTTAAGTGAGAAAACAAAACTCAATGAAATTAAACGTTGAAAATTTTCGAGTTTGTAAAAGAGTATCACGCAAAGCATTTGGATCATCCTCAGCTCTTCCTTTTCTTTTTATATATATATACATATATACATACATACATCGTCCGACCAATTACTGAAACTTTCATAATTGCCGAGCAAAGCTTCATTTAAAACTGTATTAAAACTTTAATTTTTCAGAGTACGGGAATCGAATAACAGGAGAGTCGCTTCGTTGCATGTCGCGTATTCTCACGCGATATCAGTAAAGAAGTTTTCTGTTATCAAAAGAAACTGGCCGGTATAATCTTTAGGAAAAATTGCCAGATGGCCAAGTATATAAAAGAATTTTGAAAAGAAACTTTTGAAAATTAGTTTTTATCTTATATTCACTTTTTATTTTGTTCTTATAAGAATTTTTGAAGAAATTATAATAATTTCAAATACTGCATATTTTATTGTCAATACCACAAATGTTATAGTTTAAATAGTTTCTCTGCATATGTTTTTTTTTTTTTTTTTTTTTTTTACATTGTGACGCTACATTTTGTCGAGCACAAATAACCTCTCCGCGCGGTTTATTGTTGACGTAAGGTAACAATTGAGTTCCTAAGCTGGTTAATGGTAAAAATATAACACAAGAATACACGGTTTTGGATCCGAGCAACGAAGACCTGTTCCTAAAGTAAATTTTAACGCTGAATTCGAATCCACAGTCAATTAAACCATATTACTTATAAAAAAAAGTAATAACTTTGTTCAAGGTTTTTGGGGTCGCTGATTACGATTATGAAGTAAGATTTTTAAAATTCAAAATGGCGGAATTAATATGGCGGGTCCAAAAGTCCAAAAGTTAACCCGAATTTGTAAACCTGCGTAATTTACTTTTCTAGTTATTTTACTATTTTCTTTTATTTCTTTTTCTACAAAATAACCTGGCGCCTTCGGTCTAGTAAATAAAATAATTGAAAGTCCAGATAACGAGTGTTTTAATGAAATAATAAATTGCATTAATAAATAATAAAAAAATCAAATAAATCTCTCAATCAAAAAATTCTCAAAATTAAAATCAAAAATTCTTTATTTATAAATATATTTAATAAAATAACAATGAATTCTTTCAAAATTCTCTCTAAAAAAAAAATAAATCAAAAACACATTATAATTATAATAACGCAAAATTTTTCTCAAATAAATTATTAGAATCAAATTTAAAATTCTTTAAAAAAAAAATTTAAAAACTCGTTATAACATATTTATATACCATCATAATTCAATTTATTTGAAAAGCCACTTTTTCGTCATTTGAAAAATTAATCCGATTCGAGGATTCGCCTGAAGTCAAGTCACGTTCTTCGTAAAATGTTTTATGAGACATAGAACGTAGTAAAGGAGAAATCATGTCATGCAAGGGGATTGTAATGTTTCTTCGCTTATTTGTGAGACCTTTCCATTTTGTCGACAGCTTCCCGGCCGATTTCCGTTATAGTGCGGAACATATATATGTGTAAATATATATATATAGCTGGTATGAACAGAAAACTTAGCCGAAATTTCTATTCATATTTCCGCAAAAATAAGTTTGATTTATGTTTACAAGTGAGATTCTCGTTATAGTAGATATGCATGTAAATTATATATATATATATGTATAACTAAGCTGGCTTATATCGTTTACACTATTATGTCCTCCAATTCTCGTCCTTATTTTCATTACGCATATCCTGCGCCGCTACACTTTAGGGTCGTGAAGATGAATCTGGCATTTAGCCAATGTGGCTGGGCTCCAAATTTATCTTATATCTTACCTAATTATAGGCTGTTTTATACAGATTACTCTCTGTAGAGCTGCGCTAGTGGTTGGGTAGTTACTTGCCTATTTCGTGGTGTGGCCTTCGGCATCGATAAAACACACGAATATATCTTATGTGTGGTTTTCAAAAAAAGAAAAAGCTTTTCAAAATTATTTCTCATTTTACGATCTTTTTTTTCAAATAAAAATTCGAGGAAAAAAGCCATTTAAAACTAAATTAAGTAAAAGGTCATATTTAAAGTATAAATTTTAATTTCCACTTTTAATTTACATTATCGATTAATGTTATTACAAATAGAAGAACAAAAAATAGAGATTTCTGTATAAATATACTAAATATTCACAATTATTATCTTTACCCGAAGTATATAAATATCTATATTTAAAAATGCATGAGTCTCTAATATTGATGTACCTACATACAACTTGAGAACAGAAGCTAATTTAATCCGTCACTCGCTTAAGTAAGTACAGAGTGTCACTCTTCATAGGTGATGACAACCTGGACGTTTGTTGTCACTCATGATAAACGTAAATCTCTGTGCGCAACATAACAGCATATGCCAAAACATTATTCCGTTATGCTGATGATGTATATCCATAATTATTCGAAAAACTATTTGATTTTCTCACTCTAGTATAACAGAAATACAAAAATTTCTATTTTCTCTATATTTAAAATAAAAAATAACTTTTATATTCTTTTAGATAAGAATTTATTTCCATTAAACATAAAATTGTAATAGAAAATTTTAATTACAAAACAAAAATGACATTTCGTATTATAATCGACAGAATTAACAAACATGGCCTTTTAAACGTAAAATTCGTAACAAAATCTTTTATTATATTGGTCCAATAAAAATTCGCATTTCATTTGTTATAGTAGTTGTAGGGCAAATATATATACTCTAAAATAAAGGATCAATAAAAAAGCGATTAAAAACTTTTAAAGACTTCAGTTGTGTACTTTAAGAAATAGAGTTGGATAGCGTATCGTGTTCTAAAGACTATGAAAATGTCATTAAATCAAAGAGAAATGTTCACTTGGATTCACAGCTAAGTTGCAAATGTATCCAATGGTTTAATTCGTCTCGGCTCAGATTGATGGAAGCAATTTCGTCGTTGCCGGTGTACTTTTAAAACGTCCCATTGTGAAAATTTATGTGCATCATTTCCCCTAATTATTTGTCGAACAAGCAAATTTATTTTACCCTCCGCCCATTTCAAAATCTCACATTGCATCTTTGACAATTGTTTCTTATATATAACGTCAAGTACTTTTAATAAAATTAAAATAAAGAAGCTTCACTAAATTAATTTTAAACTAAATGAATACAAAATATTGGAGGAAATTAATTTTTAAAGAATTTAACTATAATTATATATATATATATATAGAATAAAAATAAATTTACGCAACGAATTATAAATAACCTGGCGAGAAGTAATTATTTTATTAGCAACAGAGACACGCAAGACTCATGTGTTAATGATATTCTACAAGATAAAAGCCGATCGTGTTACACTGACCCATCTGGCAGCAAGTATATAAAACTGGTTAGAAGAGGTGTGTCTGAAATGAGTCGCCTAATCGAGATTAAAGGTCAAAAAGGCTGATCTTGATATGCTTGACGTTTTTCTTGTGTGTGTAAGTGTGGAAATTAATGAGAAGAATTCAGGAAGAAAAATTTGCCCTAGTAGTGAATACCTTCTAATTCTTATAAGGCACTTTAAGGCCGCCGTTTAGCCAACGAAGCTACTTCCGGTCCATAGTACTTAGCTCGCGATTATTAATGTCCGCCTCGCGTGCACTGTATAACAATGACTTTCGTCCTCATGAAGGTATTAGTTTTTTTTTTTAACTCTCCTCGAGGAATAAAATAAGTGTAAAAATGAACAGGTGGTGTGTGTGTTTTTTTTTCTTATTTCCACAATATATATAGCTATGCTTTTTTCAAATTGTTTTGCACTTTTAATGAAATATCAAAATTTAGAAGAGAAAATTAGCGAAAAATAAGTAATTTGCACTATATATAGGTAAATTTTTTTTTATAGATATAAGTTTTAAATTTTGTAAGTGCAACAACTTTTTTTTATCTATTCCATTTTCAATTATAAAGACAAAAAACAATCTATTAAAATAAATCCCATGCAGAAATTATGGTCTGGGCCTCTCAAGGCCCTTCCCAGTACGCTTGGATTCTGGCAAGGGCCTGACGTGGCAAACTGGCAAGGCCCTAGTATAATGGCTTGAGACGGTTTTATTACTGGATTACCTATTATTATTTAACGCAATCGCTTACATAAATTTTGAAAAATATT